CACGTGCGCCGGGCAGTGCTGCGGTGGCGTGTTGAATTTTGAGCTTCGACGCCGCCGTTTGGGCTGGGCCGTTGCCTTCTGTTGAGGTTACCAAAAGCTTCGATTCCGAGTCCGACATGTAGAACTCGAACTCCTCCGATGTGTAGGCCGCGTTTAGCGGTGCCGCCGTCGCTCGAGCTCGGATCACACCCAAAAACATTATCACAAACTGCAAAATCCAATAACAAAATTTTAAAAAATATGATTTTTTTAGTGTTAAAAAAAAAGAAATCAATTGTTAAATAACCACTGCCCCAACCCCAAAAACTAATAAGTAATCAATTCTTTTTTTTAATCAATATTTTAAGATTCCTTTCAACTTTCACTGGTTGGCTTAAAATTTTGCACAAATTCTAATAAGGAGTTACATATTAATTAGAAAGAAAATGAGTTTAAACCCATAATCTTCAATTTTTATACCATGTGGAATAAATTATCATTTAATTTAAAAATTATTTGCCATAGTAATGTTTTTAGATTTTAATCAATGAAATATCAAGCATGTTAATTAAAGATTAATACTAAGATTCATCACCACCTATTTCTTAATTTTTTTCATTTCTCTCCTAGTCAGGGTAAAATAGATAAAGTAATCACTTGTTAGTACTTAAAAGTATTTTTCTTGATTAAAAAACATTATAAATCATTATTGAACTCAGCAGGAAAATATAAATTTAACCTTTTATTAATATTTTAATAGAAATGAATACCTCAACGGTGTTTGGAAAGACAAGTGCTACGACGTCGCCGGGTTTGACGCCGCCGGCAACGAGTTTGGAAGCGGCGGAATCTACTAGTTCTTGAAGGCGGAAATGTGAGAGATCGAACTTTCCACATACGGATAAGGCTCTCCGGTCTGGAAACTCCCCGGCGACCAGTTTCAGCAATCCGGTAAGAGTCGGAATCCCCATTTTTCTTGAAGAGTTAACAAAATTAGAAGAGGGCGAAAAGAATGAAGCGACGATTGAGGAAGAAGGGAGTTTTGGGGGTTATATAGAAAGGGGTGACAGAGGAGAAATATGGGCAGCTCAAAGTCTGTCCACGTGGCGAGATTGGGTTGGGTGGGGGTGCGCGTGACGGTGCCTTGGCCGTTGTTTGAGCAATGAGTTATCAATGGACGGTTTTGCCCATAGAACCCTAAGGCCTGTCGTAATATTTTAAAATTGAATTTAAAGCAATAAATTAAATAATTTTATTTTATATGCTGATGGAAGACGACGACGTATGGCTTGATTTCGGAAAGTGCAGATTAGAACATGACTCTGATCTGTACCATCGTCGTTTTGTTCCATTTTGATTGCGACCAAAAAAAAATAAAATAAATAATAATAAAATAGAAAAGACGGCATCTTAATTTGCTATGCTTTATCCACGAATTATTTATTATTATATTTTTATAGAGATGGAAATTTTCTATAAGGCCCGTTTACTTCAATATAATAAAAGATGAATTTCATTCCTTTAATTTTAGTTAGGACCTTCTCAAATTTGATAATCACTTTCTCATTTCATTATTGCGCTGCAGTTTTATCAAATCTCATTCTCTTAGAAAAATTCAAGTCGTACAAAAGTATCATACTCTCTTTATTTTTACCCTAATTATATTTTTATAAATAATTTTTTAATTTAAGTGAATCCTACATCATATTTAATAAGATGCTAAAGCGAATGAAATACTATAATTTTTTTCCTCAAACGGGCCTGTCGTAATATTTTAAAATTGAATTTTAAGAAATAAATTTAACAATTTTATATGCCGATGGCAGACGACTGACCTATGGCTTAATATCAAAAATTGCGAATTAGAAGATGACTCTGATCTGTACCATTGTCTCGTTTTGTTTCATTTTGAATGCGACCAAAAAAAACTAATTAATAAAATAGAAAAGTTAGTTTTGACGGCATCTTAATTTGGCTTTCATCGATGAATTTATTGTTATTATTATTATTTATTATTTTTTTAAATTTTTGTAGGGGTTAAAGTTTTTTTTTTGTAATACAACGTGAAGAATCGAATTCATAACCTCTCACTTCAGTTTACTTCAATACAGTAAGAGATGAGAATGAAAACTTTCGTTCATTCAATGATATTTATTAAAATTTAAGAAAGAAATGAGTTGGTAGGACTTTCTCAAACTTGAGAATCATTTCCTCGTTACATTATTCTACTAGAGTCTCATACATAATTTTTAATGTTAGTGAACTCCATATAATTTTTAATATGACGCTGATGTGTTAAACAATGAATAAAAAAAGTATTCAAACTATATTTTTTTTTTCATTCCTTGTTACCATCAGTCCAACACATTTTCAATAATTATTTTACAATTTTTATCATTATACACTTAACTTTTAATTAATTGTTTCACTAGTTTTTCATTTCTTATTTATACTATTAATAGTTTTGTTTTTAATGAAAAATATACAACTTTTATTAATTAGTGGATGCCATATTATTATAAAATATTATATTTTAGTTTTATTTAGTTATTAATTATTAATTAATATTAAATAAATTATTTAAAAAAACACTACCATCAGTAAAATAGTCATTAAATAAATTAAAATTGATTATTTGGCTAATTACAAATAATATTAATACACTATTTAATTAATATATTTATAATTAGCAAAAAAAATTAAAAAAAAATATTCTAATAATTGTTATAGGTTAATTTTAGTAAACAACATTAATAGACTTTTGAATCCGATTCCAAAATTTTTTTAATAAACAATGTGAAAGAAATATCATTCTTATTCTGTTTGATTTCGACTCTAATGATTAGAAATTTATTCATTTTTCTTTGACATTGTTTGACAAAAAAGTGGAGTTGTCTTTTGATTTTAAGTAGGCTATATTCTTAATTGGGAATCTCTTGCTAAAATTGATTTCAATTTAGTTACATTACCTCCAACTTTTCCTTTTCCATTTTCTTCATTTATTTCATAAATTGGTAAGTTTCAATGGATTCGATCTTTTGTGGTTTTGTCTTGTTACCATTTTTAAATTTTTTAAATTTATATCATTCCTTTTATACCATTTCTTAATTTAGTGGTTTGGTGATTTCCTAACCAAAAAGTTATTTCATCCTTTTCTTTGTAAAAGCAGTTGGGCAAAAGGGTAGCGTAGAGAGCGCAAATAAGACATCATTAGGTAGAGAGAATTTTTTTAGTAGGGTAGAAAGAAATTATTTATCCTCTAACTTTCTAACTTTCACCATCCCTCATTGAAAAGAGAGAAGACCTAACAATGGTTTATAATAGACATTGACTACTCCTCTCATTATCAATTAGTTTTGAGATGGAATCCATGGATATTAAAATAAAACCAATAAAAATAAAAAGTAACAAAATATCAAAATTATAATTATAATTTTTAATTTCAAAATTAAAGATGACTTTTTATTTCAATTTAAAAAGTTAATAAATTTATTTTGGACCATTGAAGGTACAAAAATGCAAACATATTAAAATTTTTCATTGTTTTACCTTATCATCAAATAAAGATTTTTAAAAGAAATCTATATGTATATCAAAATTTGACTGAATTACATGAAATGATAGTTTTTGAAGTTTTTTTTTTTTTTTTCCTTTAAGAATAGAAGATGTCAAAGTCTAAACATACATATAAGAATCACTATTTAAAGCCAGCGTACATTTCAAGACATTATTTTATATTGTGTTGGTAATTTGTATTATAAATTATAATTATTATAATAATAACATTGAAGTAGTTTCTCTTTTGACGTAATTTTTAATGTATAACGAATTTTATAACATTTAAAAAACACATTACTTTTATTTAATTTTATTTTATCTTTTAGTTTTGCCTTTGACTGGACTTTTTATTATTTTTTATTTTCGTAAGTCCCTTGGCTGGAGTTGCATCAGCCAAAACTGAGCGGCAGCTTGAGTGTTTAAACATTTCAACCCCGTGAGTTTCCCGGTGCACTTTGTTATACATACAATAAATTAATAATTATATCTTCCTTTTCCTTTTCTGATTAAATTATTATTTTCTTGAAAAAGTTAAATTATTAATTTTTTTTAAAAGGAAAGTTAAATATTTAATTTTCTTTTTCGAGTTTAACAAATACGAGATGGAGATACCCTTGAATTTCGAGATGGTATTAAGGTGTAATATCCACTCGAGCTATTATCGAATTTACAAATTTTTTTTCTGAGTTAAGAAATAAAACAAAAAGCAAAATTAAAATGTCTCTTAAGGTGGAGCATGAGTGGGGATGTTAGGATTTACCCAACTTGGATTTTTTTGTCTAACCACACTTCATTGAGTTGATTTCTTTTGGCATGTATTGCCAAAGAGTTTGTTTTGTTGCTGTGTAGTGTTAAAAAAGGATGACACCCTCACATTTTCTCTTTGATTTCTTCTATCATCACTTGAGTTCATTTTTATAGGTTATATTTTATTCAATTAATTTCAAACGACTTTTTAATCGAACTCTATCAAAATTGGTCTAATCCTTATTTCAATTGTCAAAGTCTATTTTCTCCTTTACAATTATCTTCTTTGCAAGCTCCACCATATTTGTGAGTTTCGTGAATCCTCTCACTATAGTCATTACTGCTCCTTTACAACCACAAATTAGTGCCTCAAATCCAACATTTTCATTGAGGATTGTTGCATCAGTGTTGAGCTTTTTAGGTTGGTGGTTTTTGAGGAATCCAAGTCTCGTCTTTGTTAGTTTCCTATTTGCTCTGCAAAACAAAGTACAAATGTTTAAAGATTTTAATCTTGATGAATAATATCAAATATTCTAACACATTCATGGTATGCTGTATTTTTTATTATTTTAATTTATATCATAATGTAACTTTTAAACATTTGACTATTATTATTTTAATCTCCCTTCCGACATTCACAAAAATCGACTGGCTGAATTGATGGACAATTGATCAGTCGATACAAAACTAAAAGTATTTTTAATTTTTGACTGATCAAAATTGAATGGCATGAAATTGACAGGCTATCTAGTCTTGCTAACCTATTGATATTGTTTAGATTCTCATAAATCACAAGATTATGGAGTAATGATGACGACAAGCTCGCAAATTTTTGCATTCCTTTTCAACTCCCTACTACGATACGTTTTCTTTTATGCTTAATTCTCTTTTTCTTTGTTTAATATATATGGTATGTATTAATAGTTTATGTCAGAATCCATATTAATGAATTAAATTTACCAAATCCATTAGTTTAAACTTTTGGGTTGAGTGGTGGTTTGTTCATTCTTAAGATGGTATCAGAGCGGGAGGTCCTATATTCGAACTCCTGCATTCCAACTAATCGTTGGGCAAATAAGTTATAATTGCATTTTTTTGTTCCTTCTCGTGCTAACGTGTGAAGCTAATCTTCATCAGCTTGTTTAATAAATCAATTGAGTATTTTTTTTTTTATTCCAACATGATCTACAAATTTTAAACTAAAGCAAGAAGATGCCATTCCATCAAAGCAATTTATACATTATGAAATAGTTTTCCAACTTTAAACTTTTCCATAGGATATTGTTTGTTTTGGGCCTAGTATCCACGACTTTGTTTTTGGTTTCACTTAGAAGACCTCATACCAAAGGATATATAGATAAACTCTTTCTTAGTTAATGTAAGACTTTGATTGTATTCTCTTTACAAATTTAACACATATTTTGTTTTAAAAATTAGTTTCAGCTCTAATAGTTTAGTTAGGATCTATCACGAGATGCTCACCATCCTTTTAGTACACAACCTCGAGATGCCATCAAATAATCATCTCGTTTAGCTAAAAATTAATTCAAAGATCCAATGCTCCATGACTTGAACTGATTTTGGTTTCTAAAGTAGGCAATCTTCTTTATTTTTTTATTATTATCCAAGAGTCGACGGCCCTTTGGTCCTATACCTGGGAGTATGCACATTATCCCATACCCGTACATAGGCAAGGGGTCATTGTTTGGTAGAGTTGCATTCCATGTGACTTGAACCCA